CTTTCCCATCTTTGCAGTTTCAGGCTTGTTCCGCGGCTATTTTGAGCTGAAGGTGCTCAGAGGGGAGAAAGGGCTGGTGCTGAAATGCTTAAGGGAGCATTTAAGACGAAAGCCTTCAATGAATGAAGAAGGAATGGGCGTGGAGGTGGAAAAAAAGTTGGAAAATGGATTCGCTGACAAGTAAGGATAATAAATGAGAGGCGCTTTCAGATAGATATCTCAGTCGTGAAATTGCACCCAGCTGGTTGTGTAAGCAAACAAATAGTTTCATGTTAGGGACTCTCGACTTGTGGCTTGATGAATAGAACACGACAGAGGTAAATGGCTCTTTAACTCATTTAGGAATAAAACTCCTTGGCTTCCTAAGTAAGAGACCTTGTGACGCCATGGATCCCGAGCAAGTACTTTAACAAGAGTTTTATTAGTTTACACTTTTGCTCTCGGATCTCCCCCCTTGTTCACTTTCTTCCTCACACTTCTGTCCTCTCCCTTTTTTTTTTCCTTTAGTATATTTTGCTCTTTTTCTTTTTCTTATCCCTTCCCTTCTTCTCGCTCTGTCTTTCTCATTTTTATTTATTTTTTCTTTCTTTTTTTTTTTTATTTTTTTTTTTCCTCAAAATCGCCTTTTAAGAGAATTTCCTCTCCCCCTCCCTCCCGTTACCAGCACTTGGAAAGCTGGCAGATTTGCAAGGTACCCGACCACATCGGGTCTATCCACGGCACCCGAGAGTAGTGGCTTTTGAAATGTGTCATTCTTACTGGACTCCGGAATCACTGCAGAACACTCATGCCCAGTCCCTCTGACCCGCTAGGGATTAAAAAGGGAAGAATGTTTAAAAAAAAAAAAAATTCTCACGTCGAAGTCAATGACTGTGAAGCCAAGTAGAAAGGGAATCTTTTAAAACAAATATATAAACACATTTCATGGAGGTCACACCGCTTCTGAAATTAGTTCCAAAGATGTAAAAGAAATTGGAAGAAAAGCAGGGAAGGACGAGGGGACCTATTCCTGCCTCTCTCAGTAAAGTAGGGAGCAGAAAAGACACAGATGTGAGTCGGGAAAAAAAAAAAAAAAAGAGGAAAAGGAAAGAAAAAACCCAACTCGCTATTTCAAGACTTATAAACTAGCGCTTTGAGTAGTCAAAATGTCCCATGAAACCGGAGGAAGCATGTCGACAGTGTTTGTAATAGCCGTGCACACGCGTTCGCGGACACGGCCTGTGAATGGCTGCGCGCCGGGATACGACCGGAGGGAGCGGCTGCAGCAATCCTTGACACCGCCTTTCAGTTCTCCGTCCCTCTGTCCGTCCGTTGGAAGGTCATCCAGGCCGGCCGGTGCCACCGTCCCTGCAACCCTGCCTGAGCATCCCTCGGCAGCGGGTCACATCTGCGCTCTGATAGGAAGGGGATACCTGGCTGCCATACCGCCCGAGTAATGAGAAAAAACCCTAAAAACAAAACAAAAAAATCCCCCAAACTCAAACTCTAAACTAACAATAACAAAAAATCACACAGACACAAAAACAAAAAAAAAAACCAACCAACCAAAACCCCCCACCCCCCCCCCCCAAACCCCACCACACAAAAAAAAGAACCCAAAGAAAAAATCCCCCCCCCTCCAAACAAAACAACCCCAAACCCCTCAAACACACACACTCACACACCGCCAAACGTAAGGTCCTATCAAGGCCTTTCCGTCAGATAAAAGACTTTTATCTTTTGTGTATGTAGCCAACCAGGTTCCTGCTAGTGAATCTACGCAGAATTAACTTTTTCTTGTATTACTTCTGCTGCCACTTGCAGTGACCCCTAGCCAGATTCTTCTGTGTAAGACCGTCCATGTACCCCGGCAGGGAAGCAGCCTTTTACGTCTGGATCCGCCGTTTTTGCTGGTGGCCATGAGACAGGTCACTCGTGTTGGAATCTCATCCCCACTCTTCCTCCCCAGTTCTACCTAATTTCGAGGGATACTGGGAAAGTGGGAGTTATCCTTTGCCCCCAGTCCTGAAGGGGGCTCATCACCCTCTCTCCTGTAGATGAGGGGGGTGAATGGAAGCCGAGCCACCCAAAAAGTGCCCCCGGGGGCGAAGGCGTGTCGAGAAGCGCTGGGAAAGGGGAAGCAGCAGCCCCTGACGTTTACGGGCGGCCGGAGGAGGTGCAGGCGCGGGCACAGACGGACCCATACACGCACGACCCCCGCCCTGGTGCTGCCCCTGCCACCGCCGGCAAACCCCCTCCTCCTCAGCCTGGGTTCAACCTACCACTTAGCAGCATTTCCAAATATTTATTCGATTAAATGTATAGAAAAGGCCTAATTGGGCGGTGGGAGGAGGCAAGCTAGTTAGCGAGGTGCTAAGAGGAGTGGGGGGGGGGGCTTTGTATCTGCCGTGCCCTCAGCGGGTCCCCTGCATGGGGGTGGAGTGGGAGGGTCGTCCCTCTCCCACATCCCACCCACCCCCTGCTTCCCCCTCCCACCCTCCCTCAGCCTTTGAAGTGCTGCCACAGCTGTTAGTGAGCACGGAAAGGCCGCGGAGCCCTGCGCGGCGGGGAGGATGGAAAGATGCAGGGATGAGGAGGATGCCCTACTGACCGCGTCTCCTGAAGATCCTGGGGGGCCGAGGAGCCCCCGGGAACAGCGCCCAGGCCCCCGGCAACAACAAGGCAGGAGAAATGTAGATGGAGTTCGTTTTAGAGCAATGTATTGTAGGTTATGAACAAGTCAGCAAAAACTTGAGGGACCCCGGCCCCTCTCCACACTCACATCTTTTTTTTTTTTTTTTTCAGCAAATAGCACTCCATGACGCCATCATACAGTATTTTTAGCCGCCATATGAATGCCCGAAAGGCTGCAGCGTGGCAAAGGAAAACATCCACTGACACAATGCAGACTGTGTAGTTAACACTTCAGAACACGATACTGTCTTATAAGCAAAGTTTAATAAGGGATTGAAACACTTCTTTCTAGGCACATACATGGAAATAAGTGCATCTCGTACCTGCAAGTTTCTTGGCAATCTGTGGGTTGTTATTATTATTCATAAATATGAAAATTAATTGAAAAATACCTATGAAAAAGTTTATCTGTTTTCATCAGTGGGATAACGCTGTAATGAATATATTTACATCTCATTGGAAGAAGTCGAGACCTGTTTTTCTACTCCGATATCCCCATGTGTTTTGCTTATTTTGGGGGGGGGGTGTGTGTGTGTGTGTGTGTTTCTTGCTTGTTTTTGTTTTTGTTATTATTTTTGGGTTTGGATTTTTTTGTTCTGTGTTTTTTTTTTTTTAATTTTTGTTTGTGTTTTTAACTGCTAATCCAACTGTGTCCCAAGTCACCCATCCCACCAAAAAGCAATGTTGAAGAGCTGCTTTCAGCACCTCCCCCCGGTCTGAGCATGCCTGCTTACTCCCCATTGAGAACTCGGAGGGGCTGCTAGATCCCCTCTGCCGTGGAAGGACCAGAAACAAAGCTCTTGCCCATGCCACATCCGTGTGAGTGGGAAAAGGGAGGATGTCTGTTTGTCTAATTCCCGTTCTTGTGTACTCAGGTCTGGAATCATCCGAGTCCCCCCACTGCCAGCATCTATGAATACAGGCCACTTCTCTATCCTGAATGGGATGATCCCCCCATAGAAGATCTGCTCACAATGTTGATTATCCAGCTATAAGTGCCTACTGTATGGAGCTGCTATAACCTCGGATCTGCTGCGCCTAGAATATTAAAAACCCCAAGCGAGTTGGATTGAAGGATCTTGTTAATGCAAAAAAAAAAAAGAGAGAGAGAGAAAGAAAAAGCAAAAAAAGGGGGGGGGGGGGGAGAGAGAGAGGAAGAGAGAGAAAGAGAGAGAAGGAGAGTATGTAGGACAGAAAATTAAAATTAAAATCTTGCCCATGTTTCCACAAACTGAAAAATCTGCCTCATCCAGGCTTGTTTGGAGGGTACGGGAGGTATCTGTGTGAGGGGGGACAATGCTATTTTTAAAGATCCAGCTTTATTAATACGTTAAGAAAGAGCTCCCTTGGTAGTATGTGTTCTCACAGCTCTGTCTCAGACCCTATAAAACATTAATGCACTGAAAGCTGTTACAGAGATCTGCACCACCAGCTAGAAGCCTTTACGTTCAAAGGACTTCCATTACAAAAATGATTTTTAATTTTCTTCGAGGAAAAGGACAAGCTGAAATAAAGAGAGGCTTTTGGCACAGAGCTCGGGCCTCTGTGATAGGTGGCCATGGAGTGGGGGGTCACAGCCTGTGTTTTTTGCTTGATCATGGCACATAAGCACATATGAAATGCACTGGCTCACCACCCAATGAGCAAGCATCTAGTTGGATTTCTATATTAATGGACTGGGAATATCGTCCTCACATAGTGACTAGAGTTAGGAGAAATAGCAAGAGGGATGTTTTGGCTGACAGCAAGAACAAGGTGTGCACACTGGAGCACACAGAGGGGTCTGTGAGTCCTTGGGGTGGAAAAGAAGAGAAAAGAAGCAAAAAACCCCAACCCCACCTTGAGCTCCCAGAAACAGAAAGCCACCACATCTGAAACAAACAAGACCCATGGCTACAGTATGCCTCCTGCTGCACGGGTAGAGGTGGTGGCATATGGTGACTGCAGTCCATGCCCATGGTTTCTGAGAGCAAAAAACAAGGTGTGAGCTCAGCAGAAAATCCAGCTGATGGGAAAAGGTATTTCAAAAAAGGGATAGGCCATCAGCCTTGGTAGGGAGTCTGCGGTGTAGTCTCAGCGAGGCAAGGTCACCTAAGGCATCACACCGCATCTCCCACTCCCTCTTCCTAGACCTTGGCAGCTCAGCCCTAAGCTTAAGTCCAGCCAAGTCCGTTTTGGAGCATCATGTAATTTACACAACTTGGCTAGATCTCACAAGTATTTTTTAAGTTCTCTTTTTTAGCACCAGTAGAGAGTTAAAAATCCAGGTGAGATTTTTTGTTGTTATTGTTTGGTTTGTGGTTTGGTTTTTTTTTTTTTGGGGGGCGGTGAATTGTTGGCATGTTTCAAACAACAAGACTCATGGTTTGTGGGGTGATAAGTAGGGGGGGGGGTTGCTAAATTCTTTTATTTTTTGTTTAAATTCTCACTTCAATTTTAATTCTTGAAGAACAATTTTGACAACATATATCGCACTCATTATAAGAAGCAAAGGGTTATATCAAAAAATTATTAGTATAGAATCACAGGAAACCTGGTTTGGAACCAGAAAAAAATACAAAACAGATATAGATACATAGACACAGGACAATTTTTTTTATAATTATTTGGAAAATGTTATTTTCCCCTAATTCTCCTTTCTTTTTTTTTCTTTATGCGCATATGATGTTTTAACTTTTACCAAAAATGAAAATAAAGACTAATATATTACAAAATGAGTAACAATGTTCGTGGTAAGTGTTTGCGCGTAGAATTTTTTTCTTTGTTTACTTCTTTTGGGTTTTTTTTTTCATTCTACACAAGGTTCAGTTCAGTTTCAATGCTTTTTTGTTTTGTTGATTTACTGTACAGCATATATCAGCAACAGTCCACAATAAATCCTGGAAGATCCAGTATCCCCTTCAGGTTTGATTAATATCCCCTCAATACTCATTTTTTTTTATTTTTTTTTTTGTCTCCTTTATTAATATTATTTATTTCTTTTTTCCTCCTCTCCAAAAAAAAAAAAAAAAGAAAATAGGCCAAATAAAAAAAAAAAAAAAAGAAAAAGCGAAACACCACAACCTCCACGGACGAGAGGTCCGTTCTTCTCCCCTACACGGCCACATCTCTGCTCCCACTTGGCCCTTTCTTTTGTTCAGTGTCCACCTCCCGGGCCCCCCCCCGCACCCCGACTGCCCCTCGGTGCGAGCGCTCCCGTCTCCGCCGCTCCGCCGCCTCTCTGCCGGGGATGCGGAATGGGCTCTAGGAGCACTGGATGGACATGTAAGGCCAGTTGAAGCTGCTCCCAGACAGTAGCATATCCCTGATGAGGGTTTCGATGGGGGTTTTACCTACCAAGCGGACGAAGAAGAGCTGCTCGATGACGGAGGAGGAGACGGTGCGCAGAGAGGGCAGCCGCAGCAGCAGCTTCCCGAAGCGGCTGGGCTGGTTGGGGTACTGGCTCCGCACGTACTCCTCTAGCGCGCACTGTGACTTCTCCTGAAGGCTCTCGATATGCGCAGCATCCGACAGGCCACAGGCGTCTGCCCACCGCACCGCGCCCGCGGAGGTAGCCGCAGAACGGCGGCAGGCGGGGGGAAAGTGGAGGGAGGAGGTAGAGGAGGAGGAGGAGGAAGCGGGGGGGAGATGGTTAGTGACTGGGAAGCACACAGGGAAACGCCGCTAGGATGAGGGGCACGGCAAAGGCTCACCCCCCATCCCATCCCACCCCACACTAGCCCACCCCCTCTCATCCCACCCCAACCCATCCCGTGCACTGCTGCTGAATAAATAACGCGACCTCTCTGTGCCTCTTCACCGCCGTGGGTATTTTGACCCAGGATATGGTGGGGTGCTCACACCCCACTCGTCCCAGCCACACACATAGAGCCCCCCATGCTTCCTTTCCATATCCCCCTCTATGGACACTCTGCGCTGGTGAGTGTGATTCCCACTCCAGGGAGCCCACCACCAGGATGCTGGAAACCTGGACCAGCCCCTGTTAAACAACACTGAGTGGAGAAAAAATAGGGGTATTGGGCAAAATAATAATAATAATATTAATAATAGTATGATTATAAGCAGGGGTGGGCACAAGCAGAGAGAGACAGAGGGAGTTTGTTGACATGGTTGCATATCACAGAGAGGCAGCGGCTGGGACCTGCAGTGACTGGCAGGGAGCCGGCCGGGGGATGCCGGGGTGCAAGGGGGACGTCTCTGTCCCTGCCATGCTGCCAGGGATCACAAATTGGCCAAATGTTTCTGGGTTGTGTGATAAATCTGGTAGAAATCGAGATAAATCTGGTGGCTGGGTTAGTGCTAGCTTGCACTCAGCAGGCATCTGCAGCTCTCAGACACAAAGCTTGGGAGAGCTGCGGCAGATAAGCCATGCCTAAAAGTAACCAGTGAGACTTTCCCTACAGGAACATATGTTTTGCACCTTGCAGAACTATACCACCCAGGCAAAGGTGTACCAATCCAAGAGTATAAACCCTTCACATCCATGCATTTGTACCTATACACATTATTCTGTGTGTACAGATACAAGCAGGGAGGTATAGATGCATCTGTGCATTTGTGCACACACACAGACACACACAAGCATATACCCTATCTCTGTGAACACAGAACCCAAACCAAGGGAAAATTGTTCGCTGGCTGCTTAAAGGACTTGCTCAGGAAACCACAGTCAAAGAAAAGTGGTGGGTATGCCCAGATGGTGGAAACTATCCACATTGTTTACAAGATTAATATTAAATATTTTTAAAAAATTACAAAGCAAAAAAACCCCGAACCATCAAGATCAGAGCAAGGCAGTCAGCTAGCAGTGCTGTTTAAAACAGATCAAAGCCAGACTTGGCTAATATATAGATCCATATATGAATTAGTGCATGTTAATGGCCCCCAAAAGGACATTACAAAAATGTGAATGTAGACTTATGACCCTGGAAAGACACAACAAATTAATAAATTATTCAAAGCTAAAAAAAAAAAAAATCTGTCACAAAGGCGTTTTTGGAGTTTAAGTCTTTCCCTATCAAGAACTGACTTTACAAAGATTTCTGAACACCTTCATCTACAATACTATGGCCTCGAGCAAAAATACAAGTAAAACAAGCCATAATTCAGGAGCTTCTGAGGAGGAGAACCTTTGACCTGAACTGTGGACTTGGCATCCCTCAGATGCACAATTATCTGGGCCAGGCTGCTCCACTAATCCATACTGTACCTTTAATGCAATGATATTTTGCGACATCTAAAGCACCAGGTTGCAACATATATATCTATCAAAAGCTGGGGCCTGTTCTTGTTTGCAATACATATCAAAAACACAGGCCTGTTCATATGTTGATTGCCACAAATCACATTCCATATTTACATATATCTTGCTATTTTACATGCATTATCTGCCCATTATGCATTAGGATCCTATTCAACTTCCAAACAATGCAATATGAAAGGGTCTTACTGACACCCTGGCAGGGCTTTTTTCTTTATGCCCCATATGTCATACCCTTAAGCTTAGTAAAATATTTATCAGACATTTACGATAAGTGCACCTATAACTGCAGGTCACTGGACAATACGGATGGGGAACTTGCTCTCTAAAAGGGCAGCAGCCCGGTGTGTGTGTGTTTGAAAAATACGCCTTGGGTTTTGCCTTAGACCTCCAAACATTCAGAATTTTCTTATGCCAGTAATAGCTATTGAGCTTTAATTATTTTAAATGGACTGGCATATGCCTTTACTTGGGTTTCATTCTGTATCCTTAAAGGTGGTGGTGAGAAGGCTTAACTCTCCCTTCAGAACGAGATTAAAAATAATAATCATTAAGGGATCCACAGCTCGATTCGATTATGCAGCCCAGAGAGGTGCAATCCGTGGGAGAAATAACGCAATCCATGTTTACTGGAAGTGAATTATTATTGCATCCCAGAAAGTGGGCTAATGTGAAAATCCTGTGTGTGCCTCGGTTTTTTATGTGGCAGTGTGTCAATAAGGGAAAGCTCTATATTTCTTCTTGCAGTCTATGGAAAAGAAATTATGTAAATAAATAACCATTACTGTTCAACACACTCCAGCCTTCCCCTTCGTAGTGGCGGGTATGTATTTCATGTTACACATTCAGAAGAGTTTAGTGTTCAGAAAATATAGATGTAATCAGCGGCCACCTAACTAGAAATCAAAGTTCTTATTGCGCTGCAAATAGATTTATTGAATTTATGTTATCTGTCTCTATCTCTTCCTGGAAACGTTTATTTATGATGAGGAAAAGGTAGATACAGGAATTAATAACACTAAAGTTTGGCAGCGGGGTCGTGGAGGGATGGGGGTGAGGGATAGAGAGGTGGAGGAGGAGGAGAGTGGAAGGAAGGGGAAAGTAGGTGACAAAGGAGCAGGTTTTGGGTTACGACCCAGTCTTTGGATGGTGTCCAGAATTTTACGGATTAAATACATGCTCTCCGGAGCCCGAATGTAAAAACTACTACAGGAGAAACCCATGCCAGCTTTAAACACTTAGTCCTCAGCAAAGGAATTTGGACACAATGACTAAAAATGTCTTTTCCATCAGTCAAAGTTAGTTTAAAAGTTGGATGACTTTGAGAAAGGCTTCCCATGAATTCCCCTCTGGATAAGCAATCAAAACAAGTTTAGTGAGAAGTTGAAATGTGCGGATGGGGGTAAGTGGTAGATTACTCCTGACAGCTGTATTTCCATTTTCTGAGATGCCTCGTGTGATCCTGCTCCAAAATAATATTATTGTTCCCTTCCTGAGCCTCATTCACTCTCAGTACCATTGTGGAAAGGGGATTCCTCCCTCACAAGTGTCATTACATTTTTTTTAATATATGTAAATGAAGGGGTCCTCTAAAACCACTTACCCTGTTTCTAGCCAACATTGCTTGTTTGGGCAGATTAAAGGGGGAGATTGGAGAGAGCAGAGAGAGAGAAGAGAAAGAGAGGAAAAAGTGAAATATCCCCTCAAACGTGTCCCCATCAGGGGCAGCCTCTTTCTAAAGGCCTTTGGCTGGTAGAAAGGCTGAGACACAGGCCAGCCATCTTCCCAGCTCTGCTTAGGAAGAATGTCTCAAGTTGGATCTGGAAAAAAAAAAAAAAAAGGAAAGGTTCTCCTCAACTGTCCCTGTGTATTGATGAGCACCCTGAAATGAATGGGAAGGGAAAGTCTGTGAGTCTGCAGGCAGGCTGTGGAGTTAAATCAGCCTGATAAATGCTGGCAGGTCTCTTTGTCACTCTTGAAAAACATGTTTCCATCAAGAAGACTTATTATGATAAAATACATTAAAATGTCGATCTGGCTATTCAGTAAATCTTCCATTTGTTCTAAGATTTGCAAGTTATCCTTTGCAAAGAAATATTCCCTCCAACACTGCGAGACTGCATTTGCACTGGAAGTAAAAGGGGGCAGTCACAGTACACGTCTCCGACCACCCTGCATACAAATTATATACTCCTGTCTAAATAAATTATCTGATGTTCAAATCGATATTAATACTACATTTGCTACATTACAATATTGTGCAAATTTAGGAGTCATTTTAATACAATGTAAATACTATCTTTCATGCATGAAAGGCAACAAATATTGATGGATTATAAACTGCTCAGTGTTAAACAAGACCTTTGAACGATTTGCCATCTCTGTTCAGGAATGCTTTCAATTTTGTCCTGGCCTAGTTTTAAGTCACATTTATTGGAACTGTTTAGTTATTGATAATTGAGAAGGCTGGTTCGGAAAAGAGGGGAGAAATGGGAACAAGAGAGGAGATGGGGAGAGTGGGTATATAAAAGAAAAAGAAAAAAAAAAGGAAAAAAGAAAACAAGCAGAAAAAGTGGCAATTAGCCATATCATGATGACAATTAGAATAATAATTAAAAAATTACACTGCCCAGTCTCTTATTTCACCTTATTTCTACTTCCTATATTTCCTCTGCATAGTTCTCCTTTGATGTTTATAAATTCTCCCTCGCAGGTTACAATAATAGTATACATATTATATTTTTATAGGTTACGACCAGAGCACTTCAAAGGCAACACTAATGCAACTTTCCTGCTAGTTAATTCGAACCATCTATCACAGGGAAAAATTGTTAACATGCATGTTTCCACCGCCTACAGTTAATTTGATTTTGGTTTTTTAGTGTTTTGGTTTGGGTTTGGGTTTTTTGTGGGTTTTTTTTTTGTTTTGTTTTTTTTTGGAGGGGTTGCGCATTAAAAAGCCAATGTCAGTGGGGATGAGGGGGAGATCGACCCCTGAACCGAAGTGTACCCCTGTCAGGTGCTATGCTACCTCAACCTGCTGCCTCTTTTCTTTAAAAATAATTCTATTTTCATTTTTTTCTAATTTTTCCACAAGTGGTTTGTTTTTTTTTCTTTTTTTTTTTTTTATGTCTCACATCCCCACCCATCCCCTCACCTGAGGTGAAGAGGACGATGGCTTTCAGGCAGCTGTACTCAGCCGAATCGACGTGCAGCGCCTTCAGCTTCTCCACCTGTTCCTGGAAGATGCGGATGTGGTCCATGAAGGCGACAACGCGGTCGGCCGACATGGGGGAGGCGTGGAGGCCGGCGGCGGCCAGGAGCGGAGCCACATGGAGGGGCATGGAGCACTGGGCAGCGTTGAGGACGAAGAGCTCGCTCCAGGTGAGCCGCAGCAAGGCCACCTGGTCGGTGATCTGCAGGTCGGGGAAGAAGGGGATATTGCGGGCCCACTCGACGGCGCTGAAGAGCAGACGGGCGGCCAGCTCGCAGATGTTCTCGATGCCCATGATGTTGTTGGGCTGCATGCACTGGCTGCCGTAGCGGGAGGTGGGGTAGGGCTCGGCCCGCAGCAGGAGGGAGATGTATCCCGAGAGATAGCAGTGCCCATTCAGGGGGTCGCCGTTGGTCAGGGCGTACTGGCCGGGGTTGGGTTGGGTGGGTGGCATCCTTCCTCGCTGAACCGCTGACAAAAAGAAGGAGAGAAGGAGAGGAAATGTGCATCCAGGAGGCTCGCAGGCATTGCCCCGGCGGCGCAGTCAGCCAGCCGGAGACAATGCCGGGCTTCTTCCCCTCCCCGCCACCGCCTCGCCCCCGGCACACGCACAGGCACGGACAGACAGAGGCATGCGGAGCCGGGTAGCTGCCGCCGACCTGCATTGCGACCCCCGCCCGGCATCGGCATCGGCCTCGGCCTCGGCCCCGGCCCCGACCCCTGCTCAGGCAGCCCCAGCCCAGCGGCAGCCAAGCGCCCCCCCTTTCTTCCCTCCCTCCCCCCCCCTCCCCCCCCGCCCACAATGCAGAC